TCGTCAGGTCTCCTTGATTAGAATCTGAGCCAACTGTATCTTTTGTCCATGATCCTTGCTGTTACTCCTTTTTAATTATCTTTTATAGTTCATCTATTTTTAAGGGACGTTAATAGATGCACGTTGTATACGAGTTAATATAAGGAGTGTTAGCATGTCATCTACACTGATAATTATATCATGTTGTAGATCCTGTAGAAAGAAAAATAAACTCAGAGGAGTTGCATGGAAAGTATCAGACATATGAAGGGCAGCCCAGGACACAAGGCCTCTGGAGAGAAGGAGGAGGCAGTGAATGTGGAAAGGCCTTCTCTCGCTTGTCACTTTTAATCACTGTCAATAACTTTTTGTGGCTGAGTCACATTCTCGGCGTTGAGCCTGCCAGCCAGAGTCCCACAGTCGTTAATTGCGGTGATTCCAGGAGAAGGTTTTGGAAGGTGGTATTGGGAGAATGTTGTTCCTCACTGTGGGAATTATCCTCCCGGGTTTCTCAGGACTGTAGTATCATATCCTATATAACGGCTGGATCTAGGCACATCAAAGAAGCATTTCAGTTCAAAGCGTGGTAAACTTCCTAAAGGGAAATCAAGTTGGTGAAAGATAGGACTCCACTGTGCCATATGGTGTCGCAGTGTTTTATAATGCATACAAATGGTTTTTCTTTACTAATATAGCTGAGGCCAACATCTGGCCAGTTGCAACCAGTTCAATGGTTTGCTGGGTAAAATCAGTGAGTGCCATTATCTGTCAACAGAGCAGGAAAAGTGTACAGTGGTGCCCCGCAAGACGAATGCCTCGCAAGACGAAAAACCCGCTAGACAAAAGGGTTTTCCGTTTTTGAGTTGCTTCGCAAGACAATTTTCCCTATGGGCTTGCTTCGCAAGACGAAAACGTCTTGCGAGCCTTGCAATTTTTTTAGCTCCCCCCCTTTTTCTAAGCCGCTAAGCCGCTAATAGCCTTTTAGCCACTAAGCCGCTAAGCCTTTAATAGCCGCTAAACCGCTAATAGCACTAATCCGCTAAGCCGCTAATAGGGTTGCTTCGCAAGACGAAAAAACCACTAGACGAAGAGACTCACGGAACGGATTATTTTCGTCTTGCGAGGCACCACTGTATATCTAATGTAAGAGTACAGTCATACCTCGGGTTACAGATGCTTCGGGTTGTGCGATTTCGGGTTGTGCACTGCGCTGAACCTGGAAGTACTGGAACGGGTTACTTCTGGGTTTTGGCACATGCGCAGAAGCACTAAATCACGCTTTGTGCATGCGCAGAATGTCAAATTGCAACCCACGCGTGCACAGACGCGGCGCTGCGGGTTGCGAACGTGCTTCCCGCACAAATTACATTCTCAACCCAAGCGCCCACTGTATTGTGTGTTGGATAGGGAAGGAAGGATTTAGCAAGGCAGTGAATTATTCTCTAGGTACCGCTTCAACACTTTCCCCCTGTTAGGTTCCTCCAATACTACTGAGGAAAATATCTGTAACCTAGAGGCAGGCGAAAGGACCATTAAGTGCTGCTAAGAGACTTCAGCATAACATTGTAATTTGAGCAATACAAATTGCAGAGTAAATTTGCCAACTGGCTTATTTCCATTAGGCCAAGGTTGATTTTATTATAGCAAATAATGTTGGTTGAATGGGTAATTTTTGCAATAGATTTGTGATAAAATACTTTCCGTCAAGAGATGTAAAAGCTTGGACAGGTGGAACCTGTTTAGCAAGGCATTTTATTTTTTTAATTTTAGCAGGAAAAGCATCGTGAAGGCAGCAGAATAATTGTGATTTTATTTGACAGTTTGTGGAAGAGCAGATGTAGGCACATGACATTAATCTTAAAGCTGTATGTTAGTAACTTTAATGACTATCCAGTTCAAATACTGCTATGGTACTGGAGTAATTAAAATGAAATTATAGTCTTAAAATTTGCTCTGTCTCTTTGGTATCTGTTTATTGTTCCAATAATTAACCTAGTAAAAATGCTCCTTTCATAAGTAAAATATGTAGGGAGGGTGATAGTTTATTGATTTTGTGACACAGAAAAATCCCACAGAAACAAAATTGAACTTTTCAAATGAAGTTCAAAAGTTAATCTGTTTTTATGGGCTTTGCAACGTACCAACCTAGCTTACTTAGTTTTGCTTGGTTGAACCGTTTAATTAATTCAAAATATATCCTCTTAGTTTCAGTCAACTTTAAGTAATTGTGTTTGGTTGGCTTGCTTGCTTAAATATAAGAAGTAGATAAGTTAAAATGAATCAGTTGTGGCTTTGTTAAACAATCAGTTTAAAAGAAAATTAAATGTGGTTACAATGGCACATGATTTCTCATATAAAACCTCTGGAGTTCCAGTAGCCAGAGCAATGCTCAATAGCAGCCATTCTACAGTGAATATTCTAGCAATATGGGAAGTGGCAGGGCACATAAAGTTCCCGAGTCAATCCCTTGTATATTCTCTTTAAGACATCTGTTTTCTTGGGATTTTAAAACTATTTTTAAAAATGGTGTAAAAAAAAAACAACAGTCAGCAGTTCAATCATATATTGGACTCACTGAGTTCAGTGGAACTTTTTCCTGGGTAGGTCTGGATATTTAGGATTGTAGCTTAAAATTTCTATATAGAAGACTGTGTTATATCTGCAAAGCTTGTGTTAAAATGAACATTGAACAGCCCAAATCACAAAGAAGGAAACTTAAGTCGCCAGAGCTAGGAAGGGCGTTTTCCTGAGCCACTGCCAGATGGTATAAGCATCATTGGCCCAGATGAATCAGTGGCCTTTTTCCAAGACATCTTTATGCATTCAGTGCTTCTTCGACTTTCTGTACTAGTCATACATTCATATGCACATAGGCCTTGCATCAACACGCTTCCCACCCCCCCTCAAAATAAGGTGGAGGGGAGGTCGGGAGAGGAGGCATCATAGCAGCTGAGTTTTGTCCCCATCCAGTTTTCTTATATGCAAGCAGTCCTGATTCATCATGACACATACAAGATTTCCAGAGGGTGATAACACAGGTCCCCTTAGTTTGTCTTCTGACCATAGTTGCATTACAAAAATGCATACCTGTAGCTATTCTTTGGCTTCCTCTGCTGATGGTTTTTTTTTGGGGGGGAGAGAGATTGGGATTTGCAAAACCAGATGTGTTCTTAAGAAATAGGTGCACCCTTTTGGTGGATATAATCTTCGATTCAGCTAACCACATGACTTAGATCAGGCCTGTCCAACAGATCTACCGGTAGGTCACTGGACGTCTTTCTTAGATCACTGGCTCCCCCCAACGAAGCTCAACAAATTTGGGTCCCCTAAAAAAGCTCAACAACAACTTTGACCTGAACCCCCAAAAAGGGGGCCAATCACTGCCAGTTTTTAACTCTGTGAGTAGATCACAGTCTCTTGGGAGTTGGCCACCCAGGTTTCAGAAGTCATGGCATAGCCATATTTAGGAAAATAATATAAGCGGCTGTGAATATGTGGACCTTGCTTTGTGTTTCTTTGTGTGGTGTGGGGGCTGGAGGGACATATTTTGCTGGTCACAAGGGCAACTTTATTTACTGACGCTGCTACATGACATGAAAGGCATGTTAGCGATATAATGTGTAGGAGGTAGACCATAATTGATTTGCTGACTGACAGGATGAGTAAGCCAGAGAAAACAATGAAATAAGACAAATAGTAGTTCTTAATTTCTAATTTTAAAAATTGAGGGGGCGCCCTAGGGAAGAAACAGTAAAAATTCAGTCTGCTTTTTCAATTATAGATCGTATGAGAGCAATGTGTCTTCATATATTGGGTAAAATTTGGGATGAGCGAGAAATTTGGTTCGGTTTGCATTATAATGTATGAATCTACCCAATTTGCACTTCCCAAAACAATATGGGAATGAGAATGAATTGAAAAAGGTATTCAAATATACCTTTCTGAAGAAACCAGAGGCCTTTCTCTTGGGTATTGTCGGCCAACTGGTGCCAAAGAAGGACAGAACATTCTTTATGTACGCTACAACAGCAGCAAGAATACTCATCGCAAAGTATTGGAAGACACAAGACCTACCCACCTTGGAAAAATGGCAGATGAAGGTGATAGACTATATGGGACTGGGAGAGATGACTGGCAGAATCCGAGACCAGGGAAGAGAGACAGCGGAAGAAGATTGGAAGAAATTCAAGGACTATCTTAAGAAATATTGTAAAATTAATGAATGTTAGAATGACGTTGGTTTAGAAAATATGTGGTTTCCAGCTGTAATGGATAAGTAAAAAAGAAAAGAAAGGTTAAAAATTAAATGAAAAACAAGGGAAAGGATTTGCTGAATAATAAATTAGAAATTGGAATACAGAAAGGGGAGGTATGAGGAAGTCGGGGAAGTAAGTTATATGAAAATAAGGGTTGAAATTATACTTGTTTTTATTCTTTTGTTTGTCTGTATTATTGTATTGTTTTGTTTTGTCATTATAAAAATTTTGAAACTTTAAAAAAAATATATTAAAAAAAAACAACAATATGGGAATGAGAGGACAGAAATGTGCACTTCTCCAAATATCGCAACGACACACTGAAACACTGATAAATTTTCACGCGCACTTAAAAAAAATCACAAAAATGGTGTGGAGATGTGAAGGGCTGAATTTAAGAGTGGGAAAACAAGAAACTAAGAAAAACCCAGATTAACAGATAAAATCTAATTGAAGGCAAGGAAGGGGGGCATAAGTAACAACTAAGGCAGAAATCATTTGCACACTTATTAGGGACTAAGATCTACTGGAATCCACTGGAATCCATAGTGAACCAAGTTTTACTCAGAGTAGACCCATTGAAATGAAGAAACTTGATTAAGGTAGTTAAAATTTATTTGAATAACACCCAATGGGACTTCTGAATAAACTGTTTATGATTGCACTATATTTCATCACACTGATTCCAAATTGTGCTTAACTTTTCACCTTATTTATTTACTTAGTATCATAACTAATGTTTTCCCTATTATGGCTTGTACTAGGATGAGAAGGAAAAACTGACCTGGAAAGACCGTACCCCTGGCTATCTAGTGAACTTTGCATCTATCTTATTTATGGTAATTTTGCATTTTATTTCCTTGCTTCTTTAACAGTGGCCTATATTAAATTTGCCCTGACTGCATGGATCTTCAGACTGAATCAATATTCTCTAACATGTGCATTACCTTTGCTGTTTCCCCTCAGTGTATCCTTCTTTTAGACTGAATTGGTGATGGACTAAGAATTGCAAAAGTTTAAAACATCAATTGCACCACAAAGTCCAGATTCAGTGCTTGGTGCAGGATTGGTTCACTTACCAGCTCATTTGCCAGGTCATGGCTGCCCCTCCCAGAACATCTCAGACTGCGGATGTTGGAGCACAGTGGTGGCATTGTTCTTGCTCTTTGCCTGAGCAAAGTGCCCCAATAACCAACTTCCTGAGCTACCACCCAGGCACTGACAATACTTCCGTGTTGTTCCTGGTTGTCTTATCTAGTCACCTTCTCCCAATGCATCACAAGAAGCATCACTGGGAAAGACCCTAACTGAGCTACAAGGCAGAGAGAGAGACAGTCCAGGCCACAAACTCCAGCAGATATTGCACATATATATGTGTTGCTTTACTCATGTCCTGTGCACTGGTGCCACAGGTGTTGATTTGCAGCATTTGAGCATGTGCCAGGCAGAGTGGCATGTGGCTGGTCTGTGTCAGTCAACTAGCCTGTTGCCTTCCAGTGCAGTAGGGGATGATGTTCCCTTGCCAGTGTTGGAGTAAGAGTCAGCTTCTGATTGGCAATTAGAAGGTTGGCAGTTCAAATCCCCACTACGGGGTGAGCTGCCGTTGCTCGGTCCCAGCTCTTGCCAACCTAGCAGTTCAAAAGCACGTCAAAGTGCAAGTAGATAAATAGGTACCACTCCGGTGGGAAGGTATACAGCATTTCCGTGCGCTGCTCTGGTTTGCCAGAAGCGGCTTAGTCATGCTGGCCACATGACCAGGAAGCTGTAAGCCGGCTCCCTCGGCCATTAAAGCGAGATGAGCGCCGCAACCCCAGAGTCGGCCACGACTTTACCTAATGGTCAGGGGTTCCTTTACCTTTACCTTTACCTTTAAAGATGCTAATAGCAGTCATCCTTTACAGATCCAACAAGGAGAATAATAGTTCTCTGAGCAAAGGCATAGACTGTCAATCATGGAGACGCAGACTCACCAGAAGACCCTACCGTGTGGGTCACCAAAAGAGCCCTTGAAGGACAGCATGCCCTCAACAGGATAAACAGCCACATTTGTTCATGTGTTCTAGGGGCACATTTAGATGCACATGCAAAATTGAGGCTCGGTAGTTCTGGCCAGGTGGCGCTGTGGGTTAAACCACAGAGCCTAGGACTTGCCGATCAGAAGGTCAGCGGTTCGAATCCCCGCGATGGGGTGAGCTCCCGTTGCTCGGTCCCAGCTCCTGCTAACCTAGCAGTTCGAAAGCACGTCAAAGTGCAAGTAGATAAATAGGTATCGCTCTGGCGGGAAGGTAAATGGCACTGCTCTGGTTTGCCAGAAGCGGCTTAGTCATGCTGGCCACATGACCCGGAAGCTGCACGCCGGCTCCCTCGGCCAATAAAGCGAGATGAGTGCTGCAACCCCAGAGTCGGCCACGACTGGACCTAATGGTCAGGGGTCCCTTTACCTTTACCTTTTAGTTCTGGCCAGTACTGAATATCCTAGAATTAGTGGTGCTCCTATGTCCATGTAGTTCAGAATTGAGATCAGCAAACTGGATGATGCTGTGGTGGCATAAGCAGGGACAGCCCCGCACCAATACTATTTAATCCAAACCTAAAAGGTCAATGGAGAAAACCCACTGGCCAGCCATGTGCAGAGCATTTCCCTTCACAGAGGAAGCTGCTTAATATGTGGGCCTTTGGGCTCTCTAACGCCACTCAAGCTCATTAACTGTGGCAAGTAGATTTACTGTATGCGCAAAAATGCTTGGACGTATGCATTTCTATGAATACCTGTGTGTCTCTTTTCAGATTTCACTGACGTTTTCCTTGGTCTTCGGTGTGATTGTGTACCGGATAACTACAGCGGCAGCACTTTCCATGAGTCCCAACGAGTCAACCAAGTCTAACGTCCGAGTGACGGTGACAGCAACAGCTGTCATCATTAACCTTGTTGTGATCCTTATCCTAGATGAGATTTATGGAATGGTTGCCAAATGGTTGACAGAAATGGGTAATGCCTTTTCACCCTTCATAAGTGCATATGTTCTGCTTCTTGCCAATAATGTACAGTAACTGTTTTTGTCCCACAAAGTAGGACTTTTCATTCATTCTATAAAATTCAAACCTTCTTCAATCATTTAGAGCAGGAGTTTTATACTGTACTATATTTTGCAAAATGCTGAAATTTCCCAGAAGTTTATAAGTGATTCCTCAACAATAGTATCAGTAATGTGGCACAATGGGTTAGTGCATCTGGCTTTTAACCAGAAGGTTGGTGGTTCAATTATTCAGTTATTGACTAAAGAAGAAGAAGGGGCAGTAGCACAGAAGGATCATAGCTGAGTGCAACATCCCGGATAATGTAGCAAGTCAGTTACAATTTTGCTTCCAATTAACTACAAAAGAACAGTTATTAGCCGCCAACTAGAACACCCTTATTGACTAGAATTCAGAAAAGACTTCTGGGTATAAACAGTTGCAAGCACCTTTCTGCCAAGGGCAGATTCACACAGTGACGGTAGTTAATGTATCACACTTTTGTGATTTGTTCCACTTCCGTTCAGAAGACCCACAGAAGGGAGACTGCCAATAGACAAGTGATAAGGCTTTGACACAATTTCCTGTCCATCTCATGGCTAACTGCTAATGGCTACTGCCCACTCCCTGACTCTTTGCATTCCTTCATTCTTACACTGCTTGCTGAATGTGAATCTTGGAAGTTGTGCAAAAGCAAGCCCAAGGCTGGGGGGAAACCCCAGCACCATTGCAAGGCAACTGAGACATGGTCTCTGGCCTCATGGAAGAGTCTGCCACATATTTAGGTAAAGGGACCCCTGACCATTAGGTCCAGTCGTGACCGACTCTGGGGTTGCGGCGCTCATCTCGCTTTATTGGCCGAGGGAGCCGGCGTACAGCTTCCAGGTCATGTGGCCAGCATGTGGCAAACCAGAGCAGCACACAGAAACGCCGTTTACCTTCCCGCCGGAGCGGTACCTATTCATCTACTTGCACTCTGACTGCTAGGTTGGCAGGAGCTGGGACAGAGCAACGGGAGCTCACCCCATCACGGGGATTCGAACTGCCGACCTTCTGATCGGCAAGTCCCAGGCTCTGTGGTTTAACCCACAGTGCCACCCGTGTCCCGGCCACATATTTACTTCCATGTAATTTTTTATATTGCTAAGTCAAGCAAGGAGGGTGTCAAAACAGTGTGCATAGAATCAAAACACAACAGGCAAATATCAGAAAAACATGACACAGAGTTGAAAGACAGGGTAAGCTTGTGTAAATAAAATTGTTTTGGGGCTGCCGTCTAAAACTAGACACAGGATGTCTGCCTAATATACGAAGGCAATGAATTCCACATTGTAGGTGCTGCTAGACTAAAGGCCCAATTCCTTGTGGATGCCATAAGGAAGAGTAATCAATGCTTCTCCAGCAGATATCAAAGAATGCACAGGAATGTATGGAGAAAGGTTTGTCCCAAGTGTAACAGTCACACCTGAAATCTGGCCTGTGACATATTGGCAACCAGTGCAGATTCTTCAGCAGTGGGGTCACATGCTGTCAATAAGAAGCTCCAATCAACAGCCAGACTGCAGCACATTCTGCACCTTCCACAACAGCCTTAAGAGCAGCTCTGCGTAGAGTGTATTGCAATAATCAAGTCATGAGGTCCAGCTCCGAGGGCCTTCTGGGGGTTTCCTCACTGTGAGAAGTGAAGTTACAGGCGACGAGGCAGAGGGCCTTCTCGGTAGTGGCGCCCGCCCTGTGGAACGCCCTCCCATCAGATGTCAAAGAAATAAATAACTACAACTTTTAGAAGAGATCTGAAGACAGCCCTGTATAGGGAAGTTTTTGATGCTTGATGTTCTTTGTGTTTTTATATTTTGCTGGAAGCTGCCCAGAGTGACTGAGGCAACCAAGTCAGGTGGACAGCATATAAATAATGAAATTATTATTACTACTACTATTATCATTTGGAGAGGAAATATGAAGTAAGCATCAGTAGGACAGAAACAAAATGTGGGTTTTGGCTACCCATGCTTGACTCAGTACCTGAAAGCTGAGGATGAAACCCAAGGCAGAGCGAAAATGTATTGTTTAACTTCCTTCCCTCTCTCTGAGCACAGCATGGAAGCTAAGAACCCTGTACTCCCAAACAGGTCTTGACCCTTCTTTCAGATGTAAATATGACATTTTGCAAACTTATCAGCATCCCCTTTGATCACAGAATATGACATATTGGTTTATTGTGTGTCACATAAATTATCAGTTGTTTCCATTCATCCGTCTTTCTGCTTTCTTCACGACAGAGATACCCAAAACAGAAAAAACCTTCGAGGAGCATTTAATTATGAAAGCTTTCCTTCTGAAATTTGTGAACTCCTATGCACCAATTTTTTACGTGGCATTTTTTAAAGGAAGGTGGGTTGAATATGATTCTTTATCAGAAAGTTGATATTTGTTGTTGTTGTTGTTTAGTCGTTTAGTTGTGTCTGACTCTTCGTGACCCCATGGACCAGAGCACGCCAGGCACTCCTGTCTTCCACTGCCTCCCGCAGTTTAGTCAAACTCATGCTGGTAGCTTCAAGAACACTGTCCAACCATCTTGTCCTCTGTCATCCCCTTCTCCTTGTGCCCTCCATCTTTCCCAACATCAGGGTCTTTTCCAGGGAGTCTTCTCTTCTCATGAGGTGGCCAAAGTATTGGAGCCTCAGCTTCACGACCTGTCCTTCCAGTGAGCACTCAGGGCTGATTTCCTTCAGAATGGAGAGGTTTGATCTTCTTGCAGTCCATGGGACTCTCAAGAGTCTCCTCCAGCACATTTGATATTTACACATTGCAAAATTCAATATACATATGTTCTACTTATGACACCTCACTGCATGGATTGGGGGGCGGCTAGAAGCAGATGGAGAGAACTGAACTGGTCCTGGCTATCTCCAGAAAGCCCACTGGGAAATGAGAAGTGAGGCTTCTCCCTCATGTGAATTCTCCGTATGGACAGGACAGGGTGTGGGTTGTGTTTAGCCTGCTCAGCACAGGTTGAGAGACCTCTGGGCTCTTCTTTGTGACATGTGGGGTTCCTGCATTTGGGAATGGACTGTTGCAGAGGGAGTATGGCAGATGCCAGCACCTCCCCTCTTATAAGTTAAGGGGGCACGCAGGTGTTTTTCTCAAGGACACCCACAGGCAGCACACGGAGACTGCTCCAGAAGGGGGTTGTGACAGACATTGGTGAAGGATTCTCCGACACATCACTCTGATTTACTACAGATGCATATATACAGCTTTCCTGTACCTGCTGAGTAGACCAGGCATAGGCAAACTCAGACCTCCAGATGTTTTGAGACTACAATTCCCATCATCCCTGACCACTGGTCCTGTTAGTTAGGGATGATGGGAGTTGTAGTCCCAAAACATCTGGAGGGCTGAGTTTGCCTATGCCTGGAGGAGACACTATCCTTCTACAAGAGATGGAAAGACAGCCATGTGTGAATATTTAAAAATTCTCAGTTACGCAATATTAACTGAAATGAATGGAAGACTTCCTGTTCTCTGTAGGGCTGGATCGAGAAGTGAGAGTCACAACAATTTTCAAAGAATAATATTATTATTTTATATAACAAAAACTTTTAAAATTTCAAATGGCAAAATCTGCAACTATATATTTGTTTGTAAATTTATTTATATATTTATCACCGGAGAGATTGGCTAAAATGAACAAATCGCTTAGTAGTAAGTGTTGAAGATGCACAAAGCAGATTGGAACCTTCTACCATATGTGGTGGACATGTCCAGGTATCAGAAAGTTCTGGGACATGATCCATGAAGAAATAAAAAAGTTACTAAGAATTTCACATAGCAAAAGACCAGAAACATATCTTTTGGGAACATTGAATAGTGATATTCCAAAAGAAAATACTAAGTTATTTCTGTATGCGACATCAGAGGCAAGAATGCTGATGGCTAAGTACTGGAAGGGTAACCAGGTACCGACCAAAGAGGAATGGTTATATAAATTATGTGTATATTTGGAACTGGCCAAATTGACATATATAATAAGCCCAAAGCCAATGAATACAGTCAAGAAGGAATGGAATTGCTTGAATGATTATTTAGAAAGACAATGATCTAATGTAAAATTTGGCTGTGTCTAGAATGACCTTGTGAATGGAAAAGGAGAACCATACATACCTATATACCGGTACATATCTATATATGAAGATGAAAATAATACTGAAATACAGATGAACTGTGAAATGTGAAAGGAAGTGTTGTGAGAGTGATGGAAGTCTATTATTCCTATTATTTTGTAAAATAGTGTTTATCGTCTTGAAATATTATACTTTTCTTTATTCTTTTACTGTCTATTTTTCTTTGCATATTTTTCCTTTTTCTTCTCTACTTTTTCTTTCTCTATATTATTCTTTATGTGTGGTTTTGTATTGATGTATTCACTTTGCAATAAAACAAATTTTTTAAAAATATTTTTTTATATTAATATAATTGTATTACCATCTGAAACGGGGGGGGGAGAAGTGTGTGTGTGTGTGTGTGCGCGCGCGCGCGCCTAAGGCTGCAATCTTAGATAGATTGGATCCTCTCTCAGAGTTTGGTAGGGCCCCCCAGGGGGATGTTTCTGTGACATTCCAGGGAAAGACCGGGAAGGGGTGGATCCAAAGCTTCCTTGGTCCCCTCACACACACTCAAGCTGGGGGGAGATTTAAACATGCTCAGGAGTCTATCCGCATCTCTCCTCTCACCTCACCAGCTTCCAGTGGAAAGCAGGGGAACTGGGTGGAGTCACTCTTCCACCCAAACTTCTGCCCTGCTGGCTCAAGCCTCCCAGGACATTGGAAATGGTGGGCTAGTTGTCTTTGGGTTTCACACACAATCCTAAGTATTGCAGCTTTAACAGGTAAAGGGAGCCCTGAGCATTAGGTCCAGTCATGGACGACTCTGGGGTTGCAGCGCTCATCTCGCTTTACTGGCCGAGGGAGCCGACGTTTGTCTGCAGACAGTTTTTCCGGGTCATGTGGCCAGCATGACTAAGCCGCTTCTGGCGAACCAGAGCAGCGCACGGAAATGCCGTTTACCTTCCCGCTGGAGCGGTACCTATTTATCTACTTGCACTTTGACGTGCTTTCGAACTGCTAGGTTGGCAGGAGCAGGGACTGAGCAACGGGAGCTCACCCTGTTGTGGGGATTCAAACTGGCGATCTTCCGATCAGCAAGCCCTAGGCTCAGTGGTTTAGACCACAGCGCCACCCGCATCCCACTATTGCAGCCTTAGTTAGTTATAAAATATAATGGTCCTCTATTTATTTTAAAACCGTATTCATCATTTGGCTGCACCAAGTAAGCTATTTTAATTAATTGTTCTGATACTGATTTAATCCAGATGTGTGTGCTTGTTCTCAGGTTTGTAGGCCGACCTGGACATTATGTGTATGTATTTGCTGGTTATCGAATGGAAGAGGTAAGTATCCAGTTTTAAATCTTACTTTGAAATAGAAAAGGGGGAGGGATTCAGTTTGCTTTGCATTTTAACGTGAATCTAACCGAATTCACGCATCCAAAATAATATAGGAACACAGCTATCCTTCAAAATATGCTCTTCTCTGAGTTTTGCTGTGTAGTTCACTAACCATGAAACATACACAGAAGTATTAGGAGAAAGTGTGCATAAAAATGTATATATATGCATTCTATTACAGATAATTGCTTGTACAATGTGTTACATTAGGCAAAATGGCATACAAAAATGTGTACCAGGAGAAACATAGACTAAGAGGCTGCTGAATTTTCATTAAATACACACACACACAACTCAAACTGGTATAGAAGTGGGACAAACTGGATTTAAGATTTAAGAAGGCTTGCGGATAGCAGCCTGCAGCCCGAAGCTGTTCCAGCTTCGGGATGGCTGCGCAAAGCCTCCGCAAGGCAGCGGGGTGAAGGCACCCCGCTGCCCTGCGGAGGCTTGAAAGGCTGTCCCCGAAGCCAAAACAACGAGACGGAGCGCTGCGCAGCCCTCTGTCCCGCTGTTCTAGCTTTGGGATGGCTGCGCAAATCCTGCACAGGGCAGCCAGGTGAAGGCACCCCGCCGCACTGCGGAGGCTTGAAAGGCTGTCCCCGAAGCCTCAAGCCTTTGGAGTGCAGCTGTGCTCCAAATCTTTGAGGCTGGCGGTGGGGGAAAGCAGCACTTCCCCCCACCGCCAGCCCCACAAGCTCGGGGGGCAGCTGCAAGGCTGCGCAGCCTTTGCGCTGTTCCCCGACCTGCTCTTGAACGCACCTTAAATGCACCTTGTTTTAGAGGGGGAGAACAAGAAAAAAAATTCCTGTTCTCCCGCTCCTATGGTCCGGTGCATCCTATGGTCCGGTGCGTCCTATAGAGCAAAAAATACGGTATGTGGGAATGCCCAGTTGCTTGAATGCCCTGCGGCAGTGACAAGCAATAGCACTGCGGGTGCTGGCCCCCTGCATTACCCACTCTCCGGAAACCTCTACTTAGCGGTGTTGTGTCTCCCTCTTACCCTCTAGTGCGCTCCTGGAGGCTGCTTGATGGAGCTTTGCATTCAGCTGAGCATTATCATGCTGGGGAAGCAGCTGATCCAAAATAACATCTTTGAAATTGGAGTTCCGTATGTATTTCATTCACATTCATGCTCTTGTTTCTGTAAGGTATCATGTCGTGGCTTGTGGTTTGCGTGGCAAGACCCCCAAGGCAACCCTCCATAAGAATAACAAAATTCACATGGACACGGATATTTTGTTTAAGGGTTTTGGGCAAAAATTTGGCCGCAACTTTATTGATTACAGGAATGAGATGGCTTAGGCATTGGCAAGACTACATCTGACTCCTGTCCCCTTTGCAGGAAGTCTGTAAGGGTAAACCACCCAAAGGGAAACTGCTTTGGAGGAACCAGCCTGCATCTCCCCCGGTGTTCCCAGAGGCCTGGCATGGCCCTCACCCTTCAAGCGGACTTTGGACAGGAACCAGGGCCTGGCTTCCCTTAACAGAATACCCTTGAAACTAGAGGGGCAGGCGATGACTGACATCTCCTCCCCCATTCACCATAAGCCAATGCCTAACCGCCAAACCTTACAAAGTTGTGACGGTTGCTAAGAGGTAGGCAAAGACCAAGTGGCCCGTGCCAATTTGCCAAATGGAAAAAAATCCTATCTGGCCCCTGACTCAAGCCAGGCAACCAGTCAAAGTCCAAAGCAAGGCCAAAGGATCTAAATTAAAGGGAGGGTGGGCGGGTGTTTGGCAGCCTGGCACACGTCACGCGGCTGCTTTTATACTTTCCCCCACTATCACCCCATGACCTGATTGGGCAATAGCCCTGGGTGATTGTGGTGCCACCCCGGCGTGAGGGTGATAGCTTCACCCATGCCGGGGGGGGCAGTTTGAGGGTCTGCCCGCAACCAGGACCATCTATTAAGATGATCCCATTTGCCAAAGCCTACTGAAATATTATCATTGCTTGCATACATTATTATTATTGTTTAAAGTTATTAGTTGCTTGTCACCCAAAGGTCTCACAACAAAGAAAAATATACAATACATGATACTATATGGGGGGTGAGCAGGGTGAGTGTGGAGAAAATCATATAATACATTAGTATTTGATATAACATAACATCCATGGAGGAAAAAACCCCAAATAGTAGTGAGCAAAATTAACAATACTGAAACAAACAAACAAACAAACGAATGAATTAATGAATTCAACTGAGGTCAAACTTAAGTAGCATAAGAGAAAGGTGCTGAGGTTTTATTTCCCCTAACAAATTGGTTCCTTATGAGTAAATTGATTAACATAAATTACTGGCAACACATTTAAAAATGAGAGTGATATTGCAATTTTTTTAGGAACACATGTGTGAAAAAGGTGTTTGATACAGTACTGGGAGGAGCCTTCTGTCATAAACAAGGTTGCCTCTCAATGCTATCTGTAGCAGGAATGTGAGGCAAGTATTTCAGAATGCTTTGGCAAAGACGTCTGAGCAAACACGAGGGAAGTCAAGAGAGTTTCCATAAGACGGTGAAATCTGTCTCACCAGAGTGGTGCATGCTCTAGTTATCTCTCGCTTGGATTACTGCAATGCGCTCTATGTGGGGCTACCTTTGAAGGTGACCTGGAAACTACAACTAATCCAGAATGCAGCAGCTAGATTGGTGACTGGGAGCGGCCGCCGAGACCATATAACACTGGTCTTGAAAGACCTACATTGGCTCCCAGTACATTTCTGAACATAATTCAAAGTGTTGGTGCTGACCTTTAAAGCCCTAAACGGCCTCAGTCCAGTACACCTGAAGGAGCATCTCCACCCCCATCGTCCACTGCCGATGGCCTTCTGGCGGTTCCCTCACTGAGAGAAACTAAGTTACAGGGAACCAGGCAGAGGGCCTTCTCGGTAGTGGCACCCACCCTATGGAACACCCTCCCACCAGATGTCAAAGAGAACAACCATTACCAGACTTTTAGAAGACATCTGAAGGCAGCCCTGTTTAGGGAAGCTTTTAATGTTTAACAAACCACTGTATTTTAATACTTTGTTGGAAGCCGCCCATAGTGGCTGGGGAAACCCAGCCAGATGGGTGGGGTATAAATATAATAATAATAATAATAATAATAATAATAATAATAATAATAATAATAATAATATCATCTCTTAGTAGCAGGGGTACCACATCCCATTTTGCTGCTTGAGGCGAAACGGGCAGGGCCACTGCTTCTGACCCCTCCTGCCATGGCAGTGATCACAGCCAATTTTGGGCCAGGTCACACCAATTGGGTGAAATATTGCCTCAAATCGTGTGAGATCTTGCACACTCCACAACATCTCTTTCTCACAGTTTTGATTGAGATCTTGCTCAAAATGGGTCTGATCAAAACGACCTCAGCCCAGTATACCTGAAGGAGCGTCTCCACGCCCATCGTTCTACCCGGACACTGAGGTCCAGCTCCGAGGGCCTTCTGGCGGTTCCCTCATTGTGAGAAGTGAGGTTACAGGGAACCAGGCAGAGGGCCTTCTCGGCGGTGGCACCTGCCCTGTGGAACACCCTCCCATCGGATGTCAAGAAAATAAACAACTATCTGACTTTTAGAAGACATCTGTTTAGGAAAGTTTTTAATGTTTGATTTATGTTCTGTTTTTAATCTGTTGGGAGCTGCCCAGAGTGACTGGGGAAACCCAGCCGGATGGGCGGGGTATAAATATATGTTGTTGTTGATGATGATGATGATCTTGTCCAAATTTGGCTCCCATCAAGGTGGCTCTTCTCCACTGGGGGAGGTGGCAGGGCAGGCAAGGCACACGCTGGGCATGCTGCCTGAGGGCCTCTGCCACCTGAGGCAGCAGCCTCACCCTGCCTAATGACTGGGCCAGCTCTGCTTAGTAGTACTTATACAGAATATCTACAAGCTATTCTCCACCACTTTTTGTGGTGTATGCCACCCAACAAAGAACCCCAAACAACACCCCAGCCCAAGAGTCTGTCCAGCAGTCTCAACTTTTGTAGCTGGAGTCAGTCCAGCCCCTGCCCAGGTGGAAAAAGGCCTGCAAGGCAGGGAGCAGAGCTTCCAGGACACACGGCCAAGAATGTACTCACGGGGGTTATTTGTTAATCATATTTTAGGTCTGCGCAGTGATGATCTGTACTGGCTCACATTATAGTTACTTTAGGCAGCCTACCAGAGGGAGATAAGGATGAAACAGAACGTTAGTGGCCCCAGCAATGGCCAGAAAAGCAAAAATGAAAAGGGAACCTCAGACTGGTAATGGCAAATGCATTATACTGGATGGAAGTAGCCAGTGCTCTCCCCCCCCCCTTCCCCCCTTTTTTTGACAAATATGCTTTCCTCAGATGTGATCCCAGATGTGATCTGAAAGCAACCTGAGAACTAAAACTGGCAAAGCACCTTGTAGCAACAGGGGAAGGGATTGAATCATCAACCTCAATGAAGACATATTCGTCAAAGCACATTGAGCATTTTTCTTCCCTTTATTCAATTCTCCATATGGCACCAGTTTGAGGTCCAACTCTCTTTCCCCCCCATTCTTAACAAAACTAAGAATATGGGGTCTGCAATACACACATTTTATTTTTATTACTATTTTATTTGCAAAGTTAACAAGGAAGGGGGGGGAGGAAAAAAACAAAACAATAACACCAACCACCAAATACTAATACTAATAATAGACCACCATCAGACACACTTATATGAGAGTAAGAAATGGATCTTACTTCTGAGTAGACATCCATAGGATTGCACCAGAGGCCATTTCGGGGGCTTAATCCGGCCCTCCAGTTGGTTTAATCCGGCCCCTGTGGCAGTTTATTTTCGTGGGGTAAAATCCTAACAAAACCTCAACAACTTCAATCCTAAAAAAAAAAGCTCAACTGTGAAAGAAACTGTGAAAAAAGTTTGGACACCACTGGCATTGCACTGTAAGTCCAGCTCCCCACCCTCAAAGGTTTTCAGTTGATGGTTTTTTATTACAAATACCTGCCATTACTTCCCCACTTTGGTTAGGTGTAAAAGAAAACTTTTTTGTTTGAACAGGTAGCTAATAAATAGACCTATCACTCCATCATAATCTCTTTTGCATAGCACGCATACTTCAGGTTCAAGGGATTTATTGCAGACTGCAGGGAGGAAGGTTTAGCGTGGCCCTTTGTTAAGATCCTGGCGGCATAGGATTAACCTGGATTTTTACTCATAGGTATGGTGCATGCGAAACATTCTTTGAGCATCTTTTCTCATGTGTGTCCTTAAGCTGGTATCTCTGGTGTCATTCCTGGAGAATACTTGATTATTATACTCCAAAGTTTATTTTGCAGACAATGCTTTATGTGTTTATTTAAGTAAGTTCAGGCAGTGGGGCAGAGAGAGCTCTTACCTCACATCCCTGGTAAATAGCTGCCAATTTTTCCCTTTTCTTGTGAGGAATCCTATTCGGAATTTCCCTTAAAAAAAGGGGAAACGTTGACAGCTATGCCCTGGTGAACTGCCAGAAAGCTCCTTGGTTTGTTGTCATCTCAGCCTCAAGATGGTTGTGAGGATGAAATGGAAGGACCCAGTGAGGCCTGAGCGTCTTTCCACACACACACATTTATGTTTGCTACATAAAACAAAAAAATAATGCTTTCTTTTAAGCTGCTTCCCTGGGCAACTAGTGAGGCTGTTAAAAGTTCTGTTTGAGATCCCCAACCTGTTTTAATTAAATTTATTGCCTACATTTTTTTTTTATTCCCCAGTAAGTTAAAAAAACTGTTCCGGAAGCTAAAGGATGAGAGGCCTGAGGCAAAGACGAATGAGTCTGATCCTTCCAAGCCACCTCAGCAATGGGAGCTGGACCACGCCTTGGAGCCTTTCACCGGGTTGACCCCAGAATACATGGAAATGAGTAAGGCTTTTGAAATATCTCTTTTCACCCGCTAGTATCAAAGCAGTCTTTTTTCTAAAAAGCTTATAGAACTTTTATAAAGCATGCAGAACTTACCCCTGTTCTTTAAAAACATTTTTTTTTAAAAAAAACCCTACTAGGATATGGTTACCAGACATCCCCGTTTCCCGGGGACAGTCCCCGGATTCACAAATCTGTCCCCGGACAAAATCCGTCCCCGGATTTCATTTAATGTCCCCGGATTTATATTTTAAGTGTTGTAGATTTATTAGTAGGGAATGAATGTTGCGTGATGGGTTCAACGGCACAAGACACATCATATGGGGACTTCCGGCGAGGCAAAATGGCGGGCGCCACGGCAGTGAGCAGCTCCTGAAGCCAGCCAGAGCCAACTGTGCTACCAGGCTGGCTCTGGGCTGCTGAGGCTGCCACTGCCGCTGCCAAGGGGGAACTAGGGGTGCCCGGCACATCAACTGGGGGAGCCACTGACACACACATCCCCGCAACCCAAATCAAGCAGGGAGCGAGAGCGTGCAGCCACCCAGCCAACTGCCCAGCGGCACTCCAGGACCAGGAAAACCCCAGAGCTGAAGCAGGGAGAAGGAGAGAGGAGAAGGAGAAGGAAGAGAAAGAGGAAGGAGAAAAAAGAGGGGAGCCCCCCGACCTTGCCACGCTGCTGCTGCCACTGCCACTGAGGAGGAGAGGTAGGAGAGCACTGGGAGGGCAAGGACACGTGGCTGAGCCCAGGCCTGACCCGAGCCTACTCCATGGCGGCTAGCGCTCCAAGAGAACAGGCTGGGGCCCAGAGGAAGGCCGTGCAACAGAGAAGACTACAGAAGAGAAGATATTACTCCTTTTTTAAAAAAAAAACACAAGCTTTTTTATAACTTTTCTCTCTCTCTCTCTCTCTTTTTTTTTTTAAAAAAAAGTGTCCCTGGATTCCTTGAACGAAAATCTGGTAACCTTATACTAGGAACAATTAGAAATACTCACGATGTCAATAAGTAAATGCAAAAAAATTAAAATAAATAAATATCCATACGGCACTGCATAAAACCATCAGAATAAACTAACCTAATTTAACAGCTTGAAATTAAACAGGAGAGAGAATAACGCCTAACGGTAGTATATGCAAATGGAGAGGCGCCATTGCAAAAAGGCCTTCCACAGAGACCCACTCAAACCACACTTTCGGAGTCGTGGGGCATGGGGAAATGGGTGCCAGGTGAGTCTCCCTTAACCAACAGATGAGGAGCCAGACACACTCAGGAAAACCCATTGCTTGTGCTTGGGGCAGAGTTTGGCTTGCCTATAGCATACAGGTTAGGAGGAGGTGGCAAGGCTACTCCAGCCTCCCTCAGCCTACGCTTGCACAGTGATTCAGGTTCTTGCTGCAATCTATTGTTAAATAAAAGCCCTCAAACCCAATATCAGTGGCCTCCCTCTTTATTTCTGACTTCAGGTACAATTTAAATATTTTTATTCCAATTACATTTATATATATATTCCAGCAGGGACGCGGGTGGCGCTGTGGGTAAAAGCCTCAGCGCCTAGGGCTTGCCGATCGAAAGGTCGGCGGTTCGAATCCCCGCGGCGGGGTGCGCTTCCGTTGCTCGGTCCCAGCGCCTGCCAACCTAGCAGTTCGAAAGCACCCCCGGGTGCAAGTAGATAAATAGGGACCGCTTACTAGCGGGAAGGTAAACGGTGTTCTGTGTGCGGCTCTGGCTCGCCAGAGCAGCGATGTCACGCTGGCCACGTGACCCGGAAGTGTCTGCGGACAGCGCTGGCTCCCGGCCTATAGAGTGAGATGGGCGCACAACCCTAGAGTCTGCCAAGACTGGCCCGTAGGGGCAGGGGTACTTTTACCTTTACTATTGTTAAATAAAAGCCCTCAACCCAATATCAGTGGCCTCCCTCTTTATTTCTGGCTTCAGGTACAATTTAAATATTTTTATTCCAATTACATTTATATATATATTCCAGCAGGTGAATCTGATTATCTTTAATATTAATGGCTCACCATCTTTGTAATTTTACCATGCGGCACAATATGCTGAGTGCTGGCTATGAGATTCAAGAAAGATGGAACGCTAGAGTAAAATTAAACCTTCTTCTCCCTGTGGTGCACAGTACGTATCACTAAATTCAGCTGTCAGGTTCACTGCTGATTGACACAGACCACCCACATGGAGCGGAAGTTCTTTGAGATGCTCAGCACTGAAGCTGTCAGTTGAGATTGTTCTGAAAGGGCATCAGGCAGAAATGAAGATGAAAGGAGCACTTCAGTGGAGAATGTTTGCATACTTTCAAAACTGGGTAAAAGAAGAGGACTTGCAGAGAGAGTCACTGAATTCAGAAAGGAAATTTTTAACTGCAAGAAAAAATAATGTTGTGGTTAAATGCAGCAACATGCCCCTGAGAAGGAATGGAAATACTGATGTAGCCTAACCCTAAAATGCCACCTTGATTAGATTCAGTTTTGAAATCTGTGTAGCTTTGTGTGATTTTCCCTCTTCACCTGTACTGGTCCTTTCTGGCCATACGAACTGAGAGATAGCAGGGCAATTCTACCTGTCTGTATGTTAGGGGGAGATATTCTGAAACAGTACATGGGAACCCCTAGATTAGAGTCACGTGTAAGGTCCTCCAAAGGCAAAAGTCTTCTTCTTCTTTGGCGATCACTCATAGCCGAGTAAGATTGTCTTCCATAAACACGGTTTTAACAATGAGTCTGTAAGTGACTGTGGAGGCCAATTCTGGACCCACACGTCCTTCCACAGTGGGACATTGGTTCCCAGGCGGGAGTTGATCACGGTGTGGATTTGCCAACCGTGCCTTCCTCTTAGCATGTTCTGAGTTCGAGTGTCTTCAAAGTCCATGACACCTTTGGTAAAGGCTGTTCTCCAACTGGAGCGCTCGCAGGCCAGTGTTTCCCAGTTGTCGGTGTTTATACTACATTTTTTAAAGATTTGCCTTGAGACAATCTTTAAACCTCTTTTGTTGACCACCAGCATTACGCTTTCCATTATTAAGTTCAGAATAGAACTTATATGATCCAGCGAGTGAGAAAGGCAAAAGTATGTGTAATAAGAAACACAGATCTGCCAACAAAAATGGCAGGCCCATATCAGGTACCCACCCAGTGGCGTAGCGTGGGGGTGCAGGGGGGGCCGGCCGCACCGGGCGCAACATCTAGGGGTTAGGGCAAATCCACAGGTTAGGGGGCGCAAATCCACGGGTTAGGGGGCGCAAATCCACGGGTTAGGGGGCGCAAATTACTTGCCTTGCCCCGGGTGCTGACAACCCACGCTACGCCACTGTACCCGCCTCCACTTCTATAGTACAAGTCACTCTGGAACTGATGTCATTATCTTGAACGCCTTTCCTTCCACGTTGTTAAATGGAGCAAGAGCAATGAAACATACAGCATAATGAGATCTAGGCCCAAAGGAAGTTGCATGATGGAGGCAAGGCCCAACAAGGGCCAGTTTCTCAACACTATCCCCTCTGTTCCTTACAATGTGCAGTTCTACCTCTGGTAGCCAATGCAGATTGAGGTGTTTTGTTTTGTGAAATCTGCCCAGAATCCTTTCTAGAATAAGCAGCGCCCTGTCACTAGTTAGCATGATGCTTTATACATTTCACTAAAGGTAAAGGTAAAGGGACCCCTGACCATTAGGTCCAGTCGTGGCCGACTTTGGGGTTGCGGCGCTCATCTCGCTTTATTGGCCGAGGGAGCTTCCGGGTCATGTGGCCAGCATGACTAAGCTGCTTCTGGCGAAGCAGAGCAGCGCACGGAAATGCCGTTTACCTTCCCACTGGAGTGGTACCTATTTATCTACTTGCACTATGACATGCTTTCAAACTGCTAGGATGGCAGGAGCAGGGACCGAGCAACGGGAGCTCACCCCGTCATGGGGATTCGAACCACCGACCTTCCGATCGGCAAGCCCTAGGCGCAGCGCCACCCGCATCCCTTATACATTTCACTAGCTGACTTCAAACCAGAAATGAAATATAACTTAAACAGAAACTAAATGTGCTTTGGTAAGGACACACTGCATGCCAGAACACTAATACTACTGCAGTAATAACTTGATCTTGATAACATGAGAGGTTTTTTGAAAGCCAAAAATCAATAGTAATACACTCTCTTATAATTAGCTGAAGACTTTGTGAGCTTTGAAAATGAGCTGCACCTTGACTGCATCTGGGCCTAGTTTGTATCTGCTATCATGGGAATACTGTTCGAAGAGCCTGCACAGGGCAAATGTTGAAACTTAAGGCAACCTAGGGACACAGGTGGCGCTGTGGGTTAAACCACAGAGCCTAGGACTTGCCGATCAGAAGGTCGGCGGTTCGAATCCCCGCGATGGGGTGAGCTCCCGTTGCTCGGTCCCTGTTCCTGCCCGCCTAGCAGTTCGAAAGCACGTCAAATCGCAAGTAGATAAATAGGTACCGCTCCAGTGGGAAGGTAAACGGCGTTTCCGTGTGCTGCTCTGGTTTGCCAGAAGCGGCTTAGTCATGCTGGCCACATGATCTGGAAGCTGTACGCTGGCTCCCTCAGCCAATAAAGCGAGATGAGCGCCGCAACCCCAGAGTCGGCCACGACTGGACCTAATGGTCAGTGGTCCCTTTACCTTTACCTTTAAGGCAACCTAGCAGGATATATACACCGTAATTGCAGCAGTCAGGGGTGATGGCTGGTTCCTCAACAGAAACCGGAGATTAAAATCAGAAAGTCAAACTTAAGAACAATGACCCTAAGCTCCAGCCCAGCTTCATGTCCCAAGAATTTTTTTTAAGGATGGGATATACATTCTGTGATGGGATGATGAGCTGCTTGTGCGTAAAAACGTAGTCCCTCAGAGTTTGTTCAAGCCCACAAACTTCTGTCTGTGACAGAGCCCCTCAGACATGACTGCTCTAGTCACTTGCAGATTCCGACAGTGGTTGCTTTCGGAATCGTTTCCAGCATAAAAGCTCCTTAACGGAAACAC